AAAAAAAAAAAAAAAAAAAAAAAAAAGGTGAAATGAAGATATTTCAGGTAAAATAGAATTTCCTTCCAGCAGACTTTGACTTAAACAAATTCTTCATTAGGAAGAAAGAAAATGGTACAAGACAGGAGGTCTGTGATGCAAGAAGGAATGGTGAGCAAAGAAACTGGTAAGCATTTGAGCAAATCTAAACAAGTGCTGCTTGTGTAACATACTAATGATGATCATTAACATTTACTTTGTGAAGCTAATAAAATATAAAGTATTGGATAACCAGGAGAGTAGTAAAAATATTGATTTTTAAAATTTCGACTTTGTTAATTTTAAATTAATGGGCATGCATGTTAAAATTTCAAGGGATCACTTGTAAAAGAAATGAATGCCTAAGTTCTAAGCAATTAAGGAAAGAGAATGGAACTTTTAAAAAACTGAACATTTTGCCACTATTTTGTTTTGTGACCTCTATTATGCTTGATAATGTCTCTAAGCTTTAGTTTTCTTATCTTTAACATGTGGTTAGCAGTACCTTTCTTACGGGGTTATGAAAATAAAATCAGACAATTTATATTAAAAGGAAGCATATTTTAAAGATCTAGTACCTAATAAATGTTCAAAAAAGACATTGCTGCTCTTAATAGAGATTATTTAGTTCAGCTCTTTACTGATATGTAAAGCCATGCTAGAACCTACCTGCTAATATCTCACCCAGCTCCAGCAGTGAGAGAAAAAGCTACAGCCAGATACAGCTAATGAATGCTGAACAGTTTGATAGGAGTCACCATTTGCCTTTTATTTAAAAGTTCAAAACATAAAGGTGTTCACCTTCTACCCTCGACCGACACGATCTCATGATTTTTCTTTAAAACTTTTGAGTTAGAGCTCTATGAACATATTTGAGATCTCCTTCCTTCATACTTGGGCTTAGAATGCTATTCTGAAGAACAGGTAGAATTGGGATGATTTCCTCCACCTGGAAAATCCTCCCTCTCTGACATAGTCTACCTATTCTTCAAACCCTAGCTCAAGGCCCATAAACTTGTCATAGCTGTTTATGCTATTTCTGCTTTTTACTTAAATTTTTATTTGAGCTTTATATTGTCACAGAATTTTCATCAACGTAAGTGGGTTTTCAGCTAGATTTTCAGCTTCTTTCTTTCTTTCTTTCTTTTTTTGGTACCATGGGTCAAACTTGGGACCTTGCGTTTCTGAGGCAGGTGGTGGCACCACTAAGCTAAATCCCTGGCCCTAGCTTCTTAAGACAATAGGCTTTTCTTACATTTTTATATATTCCCTATAGCTCCTAGGGAAGAGAAACAGGATGTAAGTGTCAACTTTTTTCAGGCAGTATGCTAAATTTTTTTTGCATATTTTATTTCATTTCATCCTCACAGCAGACTTGTAAACATAGATATTAGCATCCCCACTTTACAGGTGAGGACATTTCATTTCAGAAAGGTTAAGTAACATGACCAAGGCACCTAGTCGGTCAGTAGGCTTCTGCAATTCCTCCCAGCAAAACAGCTTGTTGGGGTAGGGATGTAGCTCAGTGGTACAGTGTTTGCCAGTCAGACACAAGCCCTAGGTTCAGTAGCCAGCACTAAAAGGAGAAAAAAGAGCAAAAAACCTAAATGGTTCATACTTTTTTCCTACTTGACATATTTGTATCACACTCTAAAATTTAGACTGTTGTGAAGATAGATTTTTTTTTTAATCTCAAAAGTTAAAATTTGGCATATCAATTATGAACTTGTAGTGAAGCCATAGGAATTCACTAAAGAGCTTGAAATAGTATTTTTGAAGGAGGGAGTTAGATTAAGGAGATTAAAAAACATTCTATTCTGTTCCTCTGCTTTGAGCTTGTGTGGTGTGATGTGAAACAAGTCACACGCACACTAAAGTCACACCTTAGTCTTAAAGTGCTGGCTAGAAGTCAGTACCCCTTTCAGAACATTCTTTCTGTTCTCTTTTCCCTTTTCCTAGGGTTACACATCTTTCTGGAATGACTGCATATCATCTGGCCTGCGAGGGGGCATCCTAATAGAACTGGCCATGCGGGGTCGAATCTATCTAGAACCCCCCACCCTACGCAAGAAGCGCCTGCTAGACAGAAAGGTACAGCATCATGTGTGAACCTCATCTGAATACCTGGCAAGGCAAATATCAACAATACGTTTTTAGAGTAAGATTTCAATAGTGATAGAAGATAAATATCACTGACTCAGCTGTCCTGTTTCTCTAAATAAGTTTAATTATCCTGTAGCAAAAGAAGAAACCTAAATATCCTTAGAAAAGTCTTAAGAATCATGTTTTTGTCTTTTTTAATGCAAGAAAATTACATGTAGGGTGCTGTTGATTTCTTCCTCTGTATCTTTAGCTATAACTTTATGAAATAGAGTATAGGTAAAGAAATCATCTGAGTTAGGTCAGTCTTTGCTTAGCCCAGGTTTTGGTCTGATAATTATTCAATGTCTCTTCTTCCATGTACAAGTCCTTTCCACTATATGAACTATATTCTGTATCCATTTTCTTACTAACCTTTTCCACACACAACTTCTGTTATTTAAGCATTCTATTACAACTATAATCTTTTGATATTACCAGCTTCCTTTCACTCTTTCTTTTTTAACCTTTAGGTGGCTTTTGACAACTGCTACCTACTTGAAACTTTCTCCATTCTTGGCCTTTTGTTTTGTTTTGTTTTGTTTTGTACCAGGGATTGAACTCAGGACCTTGCCCTTGCGAGGCAAGCAGCAAAACCACTGAGCTAAATCCCCAGCCCCATCCTTGGCCTTTTTCATCTTACATACTCTTGCTTCTCTGAGTATACCCTATTTTCTTTACTTCCCCTTTCCTTAAAATGTCTTAGTTTTTTATCCCTTTATGTGATTATTCTGTCTTTTTGGAAATATCATTTACCTTTAGCTGTATCTGTCACCTATCTGAGATTAACTTCAGAATGGTGGTGCATTCCTGTAATCCCAGCACTTGGGAGGCTGAAGCAGGAGGATCGCTATGAGTTCAAGCTCAGCCTGGGGCTGCATAGTGACTTCAAGCCCAGTCTAAACTACACAATGAGACCCTGTCTCAAAAAAAAAAAAAAAATTTAACTCCAAAATTTCTAGACATATCTTTTTCTTCAGCTTCTAGAAATATATTTAATTGTTGGCTAAACATGTCACATTGGCCGTCTTGTATTAACTAAAAGCAGATTTACCAACTTTTCCCCAAATTGGCTTCCTTTCCTGACATTCCTGTCTTCACTAATGGCTTCCTTGGTGGTGGTTCAGATTCTTGAGTTCTCCTCCATTATTCTTCATGTCCAGTTTGTTCCAGGGCCCACATCAACTGTTCTTTTCGTCTTCCTTCTGTCACGTCATGCCACGTTTTAAACTTGTTCAGGATAGAGCAATAGAGTATGCTTCTCTGCATTTCCCAAACTCCTACACGGTAATGTGTGTATTATGTATTGAAACATTTTAATCTGAACGGAGCAAATAAATCAGGGTCCTTTATTTATTCTTTTCTTAAAGGTACTGCTGAAGTCAGATAGCCCAACAGGTGATGTTTTACTGGATGAAACTCTCAAACACATCAAAGCCACTGAACCCACAGAAACTGTTCAAACATGGATAGAACTACTCACTGGTAAGATGACTCAAAAGCGTTCACAGATTCCTTACTTTTGTTATCTGTAGTCTACCTTTAAGATTCAACGTGCTGTGTAAGATACTGTTAATATCGAAAGTTTTCCAGAGCTGCACCTTATGTTCTGCCACACTACCCTGGAAGCTCTTTTTTTTTTCTTTTTTTTTTTTGGTTTTTTTTTTTTTTTTGGTTTTTTGAGACAGGGTCTCACTATGCAGTTGAGACTGACCTGGAACTCACTATGTAGCCCAGGCTGGCCTCGAACTCACAGTGATCCTCCTGCCTCAGCCTCCCAAGTGCTGGGATTACAGGCATGCACCACCATGCCTGGCCTTTTTTTTATTCGTTTTTGGTTTGTTTGTTTGTTTTTGTTTTTGGTACTGGGGATTGAACCCAGGTCCTTGCGCTTGTGAAGCAGGCAGCAGAACCACTGAGCCAAATCCCCAGCCCCTGGAAGCTCTTTAACAGCGTTCTTCACAAAAAACTTTATTTTTATTGAGTAGCAGGATATTGACACTGACACGACCCACTAACCTTGAACTCCCCACTTTTAATTTGACTCTTTATCACCAGTATTTCTTTGTGTGGATGTACCACAATTGCTTTTCCATTCATCACCTGATGGGCATTGGAGTTATTTCCATTTTTCGGTTATTGTGAAGAATGCTACCATGAATATCCTTTGACAGATTTTTATGTGGTCATGTTTTCATTTCTTTTAAGTATGTAACTAGGAGTGCATTATGGTGAATTATATGTAATATTATTTTAGCCATTTGTAAACATATAATTCAATGACACTAAATATAGTCAGTCTTATATAAACTATTACCTTTCGCTATACTCAAAACTTTCTCATCATCACCAACAAAATCTTTACCCATTAATGGTACGGTGATACCTCAGTACTCATCATTAATTGGTTCCAGGAGGCACAATGAGCACCAAAAACAACCAGTACTAAAAAATTGTTTTGGTTGGAAAAGATCGTGAGTCACGAGACAGTCAACAGTGACAGTTTCAAAGCTTGAGTATCCAGTAACAAACAAGTACCGGGACGGAATTTTCATATCAAAATGTGTCGGAGTACCAGATCTGATGAACTTCAGGGCAGTTGGAGACCATGGTGTGACTGTATAGTAGTAATTCCTTTCCTTCTCGCCTGCCCAGTCCCTGGCCACCTTCTACTTTCTGTCTCTATGAATTTACTTATTCTAGGTACCTGTGTAAGTAGAATTATAGAGTACTTGTCCTTTCAGTGGCTGGGTAATATCAAAGTTCATTCATCACAGCATACATCAAAATTTTATTTTTTATTCTTTTTAATAGCTGAACAGTATATCTTTGTTTGTATGTACCACTTTTGTTTAGCCATTCATCTGTTGATGGACACTTGTGTTGCTTTCACTTTTTGGCAATTATGAAAAATGCTGCTATGAACATGGGTATACAAATACCTATTCTAGTCCCCACTTCCAGTTCTTTTGGATATATACCAAGCAGTAAAATTGCTGGGTCATATGGTAGTTCTGTGTTTAAACTTTTGAGAAACCACCAGATTGTTTTCCACAGAGGCTATACCATTTTAGATTTCCACCAGAAATGCATCAAGATTCTAATTTCTCCATATCCTAGTCAATACTTTCTCTTTTCTAGTTAGTTTTTTTTTTTTTTTTTTTTTTTTTTTTTTTCTATTTTACCCATCCTAGTAAGTGTGAAGTGATATCTCATTATGGTTTCTTTTGTTTTATTTTGTTTTTGAGAAAGTGTTTCACTGCATAGTTCAGGCTGTCCTTGAACTCACTATGTATCCCAGGCTGGCCTCAAACTCTCAGAGATCCTCCTGCCTCAGCCTCCAGAGTGCTAGGATTACAGGTGTGTGCCACCACGCCAGGCTGCATTTTCATTTTTGTTGTTGCTGCTGTTGTTGGGTTTTAGAAGTTCTTTATATATTCTGGATATTAATCCCTTATTGGATACGTAATTTCTAAGTATTTCTGTCCATTTTATAGATTTTTAATTTTCTTTCTTTTGGTGCCTGTAGTTTTGATGTCATATTTCCCCAGTGTTTTTTTCTAAGAGTTTTTATATTTTAGTTAAGGTTAGACCACTGATTTTTTGTCTCCCCTAGTGCTGGGGACTGAACACAGTGCCTTGTACATGCCTAGGCAGTTGTTCCACCACTGAGCTACATCCCCCACCACATGGATCCATTTTCAGTGAATTTTTTCACATGGTATCAGGTAAAGCACCATGACCATTCCTCTGCATGAGGATATTAGCTAGGTGCTAATCTCCTGGCACTTTTTGTTGAAAAGATTACTTTTCCTCATTGAATGGTCTTGGCACCTTTGGCAAAAATCATTTGACTGAGCTGGGTGTGGCAGTGCTCATTTGTAGTCCCGGCTGCTCAGCAGGCTGAGAGGATCACTTGAGTCCAGGAATTCAAGACTAACCTGGACAATAGAGAAAGAACCCAGCTTTAAAAAATCAATTGACCATATATGAAGGTTTATTTCTGGACTCTTGTTTTCTCTTGCATTGGTCTATATATATCTCTCCACATGCCAGCATCGTACTTTTTTTTTTCAGTACTGGGAATTGAACTCAGGGATGCTGTATTACTGCATTACCCAATCTTTTTTATTTTTTTATGTTGAGACAGAATCTCTCTTACTGTTTGAGATAAAGTCTCACAAAGTTACTCAGTTGGGCCTCCAACTTGGAATCCTCTTCTCTCAGCCTCCTCAGTAGTAGCTGGGATTAAAGAAAGATGTGTACCACTACACCTGGCTCATTTAAAAAATTCTATGTAGTTGGGTTTTTTTGTTTTGTTTTGTTTTTTGAGACAGGGTCTCGCTATGTAGTTGAGACTGACCTTGAACTCACAGTGATCCTCCTGCCTCAGCCTCCCGGAGTGCTGGGATTATAGTCGTGCACCACCATGCCCAGCTAAAATTCTATGTAGTTTGACATTAATGTAGCCACACCAGCTCTTACGGTTCCTGTTTGCATGTTTTCAAACCTCCTTTTAGTTCCATCCTGTTGATATCTTTAAAGTGTATTTTCTATAAATACCATATGATTTTATCTTATTTTATCATTCAATCTGATAGTCTCACCATTTTGCTTAATTCATTTGTATTTTATGTTATCACTGAGGTGGTTAAATTTACTTGTACCACCCTGCCACCATGTCTGTGTCTGTTCTGCTTGTCCTTTGCTGCCTTCCTTTGTATTAAGTGGATATATTCTAGTGTAAGTGTACCTTGGTCAGGTTGTGGATTTTATTCCAACCACCACGGTGAATGGAATATCATAGTAAAACAAGCCAAAATATTTGGTTTCTCAAATGAAAGCTCAATCCCCGGTACCAAAAAAAAAAAAGAACACCAAAAAAAAAAAAAAACCAAAAATCAAATGAAAGCTGTGTTGCCAGGAATGGTGGTATGTACCTATAATCCAAGCATTCTGGGAGGCTGAGGCAGGAGGATCACAAGTTCAAACCCAGCCTGGGTAAATTAGCAATTTAGTAAGACTTACCTCACAATAAACACATAAAAGGGCTGGGACTATAGCTCAGGGTAAAGGTCCTGAGTTTGATTGCCAGTAATATCAAGGAAGGGAGGGAAGGGAAGAGGAAAGGAAAGAAGAGGAAAGGGCATTTGCTTAGCAGGCACAAGTCTCTGGTTATATCCCCATCTCACACACGGCTATGTTCGTACTGTGCAGTACTTTATAAGCATACAGTAGCAACATGTTTAAAAATAAATAATATAAAAATACCGTATGGGATGTCAGGCGTGGTAGTACATCCCTATGATCCCAACCTCAGGAAGCTGAAGCAGGAGGTTTTGTGAGTTGAAGGCCATCCTGGGCTCCATAATGAGTCAGAGGCCAGACTGAGCTATTTAGTTAAATCTGTCTCAAAAATAATACAAAATGTTAATGAGCCTAAGGGTGTAGTTTAATAGTAGAGCACTTGCCTAGTGTGGGAAAGTCCCTGGGTTCAATGTCCCAGTGCCACTGCCCAAAAAAAAGAAAGAAGATAGCTTAGTGCCTACAAACTAGTAATGATAGTCTGAGCCTTCACAGAGTCCTGATATCTTTGCTGGCAGAGGATCTTGCCTCCGTGTCGATGACGCTGACTGATCAGAAGGGTGGTTGGGGTGGCTGTGGCAATCTCTGAAGACAATGGATTAGAGATGTAACTCAGTAGTACAGTGTTTCCCTATCTTGCACAAGGCCTAGAGTTCAGTCCCCGGTTCCACAAAAAAAAAGGAGAAAGAAAAAGAAGTTTAAATAAAGTTTGCTGCATTGATTGAGATTGAGTCTTTCACAGAAGATCTCTCTGTTATACGATGCTGCTTGATAGCATTTACCCAAAGTACATCTCTCAGAGTTGGAGTCCGTCCTCTCAAATTCTCCCACTGCTTTATCAACCAAGTTTATGTAATATTTTAAATCCCTTGTTGTCATTGCAACAATGTTCATAGCGTCTTTACCAAGACTAGATTCCATTTCAAGAAACCACTTTCTGCCAAGTATGGTGACCTGTGCCTGAAGTCTGACCTACGTGGTAGGTTGAGACAGGAGAGCTACATCCTTGTGATGGATGCAGTGAGCGTCGTGTCAGACAGACAGAGAGATTCCACAGCAGTTCAGTCACATCTTTAGGCTTTCCTTCTAATTCTCATTCTCTTGCTCTTTCCACCATATGCAGTTAACTTCCTAAACTGAAGTGTTTTGTTTTGTTGAGACAGGGTCTCCTATGTAGTCCAGGGTGGCCTTGAACTCACTAGCCAGGCTGGCCTTGAGCTCACAATGATCCTCCTGCCTCAGCCTCCCAGTGCTGCTATTACAGGTATACGCCACCATGCGCCTGCCCACTAAATCACTATCATAGCATTTTTGTTGGCTTTTGTAGCACTGAGAAAGAAGCAAGCCCAGGGTTTTATACATGCTAGGTGATATGCAGCCCCACCCCAAGAAATATATTTCTTAAATAATAAGACTTGAAACTCAAAATTACTCCTTGATAGCCGGGCATGGTGGCGCATACCTGTAATCCCAGCACTTGGGAGGCTGAGGCAGGAGGATCACTGTGAGTTCGAGGCCAGCCTGGGCTACATAGTGAGTTCCAGGTCAGTCTCAACCTCGTAGTGAGACCCTGTCTCAAACCAAACAACCAAAAAAAAAAAGGCTCCTTGATATAGAGACTGTAGAATGGATGTTGTATTAGCCAGCATGAGAATAAAATTAATATATTTTACTTCTCTATCAGAGCTCTTGTGTAACCAGGTACATTGTCTAATATTTAGAAAAAAATCCTTTTGACCAGTGAGTCTTAGTAGTGGACTTAAACTATTCAGTAATTCATGTTGTATCAGATTCTATTTAGTGCTAGCTTTAGCAGCACGTGTACTAATACTGGACAGATACAGAGATCAGCATGGCCTTGTGCAAGGATGACGTGCAAATTTGTGAGACATTCCATATTTTTATAGTATTATTGGGAAATGATACTATATCATTTATATGAGAAATAGATTAGCAAATGAAAATTATTCTTCTAAGATCATGAAAAATATGTCTTTACCATTGTTATTCTCTAATATTTATTATGAAAATTTGTTTTTTCATAGAATGGCTTTTATATTTTCTTTATTAATATCTACATGAATTATATTTTTAAAAGATTAAAAATATAAAACTTTTTAAAAAATTGGGGGGCTAGGGATTTAGCTCAGTGGTGCCGCTGCCTGCCTTGCAAGCACAAGATTCCAAGTTCAATCCCCATACCAGGAAAAAAAATCTATTTAAGATTTATACAAAGTTTAATTCCAAGGAGACTAATCTTATACAACTCCATTGCATCTTCTTTTTTTGTATTAACATTGTTGTACATATTATTTCTGTATATGTAAAACAGTCAATGATTTGCTATTGTAATTATGATTTAAATCTTGTTGTTCTGGTGGCGCACGCCTGTGATCCCAGCACTCGGGAGGCTGAGGCAGGAGGATCGCTATGAGTTCAAGATCAGCCTGGGCTACATAGTGAGTTCCAGGTCAGTCTCAACTACATAGTGAGACCCTGTCTCAAAAAAACAATCCATCCATCAATCAATCAATCTTGTTGTTGTTCTTTGAGATAGGGTCTCGCTGTTAGTTCAGGCTGGTCTTGAACTCCCTATGTAGCCCAGGCTGGCCTGAAACTCGGCAATCCTGCTTCAGCCTCCCATGTGTTGGTGTTACAGGCGTGCTGCAGCACACCCAGCTGTAATTATTATTTAGAGAAGAAAGCACAAGAACATAGAGTTTACTGTATTAATCTTCATAATTACCATTTCTGACTTTCTTCATTTCTTCCTGTGAATTCACGTTACCATTCCAATGGTAACTTATTCCAATACAACTTTTTTCCCACCTATCTCCTTCAAGCTGTTACTATAATATTTATATTACATACCTAATAAAATACCACTGTACAAATATTTTATGCAATTGATTTATAAAGCAATTAACAAATGATGTATTCAGTTATACTATCCCTTTGATTCCTTACATAATTATTTTTTTGGTTTTTTGAAATAGGGTCTTGCTATGTAGTTCAGGCAGTATTTTGGGGCGGGTACTGGGTATATTGAACTCAGGACCTTGCACTTGCAAGGCAGGCATGGTACCTCTGGGCTAAATCCCCAGACCTGTTCAGGCTCTTCTTAAATTCACTGTGTAGCCCAGAGTGACCTCAACTCACAGTGATCCTCCTGCCTCAGCTTCCCAGATCTGGGAATTATAGGTATGCACCACCACGCCTGGCAGTCCTTGACATTTTTTAAAAGTAGAGTGATGGGAAATATGGTTGGAGTGAAAACTACAGTATAGCTTCTCACCAGACCCAGGGGCTGCAGTGCACAGAGCAGCCCCCACCATCCAGTGCCAGCCCCGTACCCCTGCCCGGACCCTCAGTCTGCCCGCACCTCTCTGAAGGGACACCCCCACACCCACACAGGCCCCACACCGGCCCCACCTGGACCCTGGAGACAGTGACACCGCCAACCCCTCCGCCTCTGTGATGGCGCAGGGAGAAGGGGGAGCCACTTGGAGGAGTTGGTTCAACTCCATCCACATCAGCTTCCTGAGCTCCCTCACTTTCATTCGCCCAAGGTGCAGGTCCCCACCATGAGATGTCCAGTTTCATAGCAGAGCTCTGTCTGGAACTGGGAGAATAGTCCTGGCTTGGGAACTTCATCTCCATGGACAAAGAAGAAAAAAGATTCCTTTTCCAAATTGATAAGTTTCTCAGCAGGATCAAAGCAGACATTGCCCATCATGCTTTCTCGTTAGTGCCCAGCCTGAGACACGGTATGCGGTCACAGATGAGCTTCAAGGTTGAATGCAAGGCCAGCGGCCACCCCTTCATCTTCCAGAAGCCTGTCCGCGTCCAGGTGGACGTCAGCTCCTCTGAGGGCCTGGAGCCTCTCCACCCCCGACGTTGGGCGGCAGCAGCGAGGGGGCCTCCTTTCCATCCCCCTTTCCTTGCGTCTCCAGTCCCAGCCATCAGTTCAAGCAGCTGGACGCCATCTGGGCACACAGCTGCCGAGCACCCACGACCACCCTTCCATTGGTCCCTGGCAGATAGGAACTGGGTGCTGGCCTGGCCTGCTAGTCCCAGACCCCAGCTGCCAAGGACTCCACAAAGACAAGAAGCCTCTGGCCGTCGAGACCCTTTGCCCTTACCCCAGGGGACTGGGCAAAGAGGGAACCCCCTCCCCAACTATGAGTCTACATGAGGCCCAACCTGTATGTCTTTCTGGAGGGAGGGAGGACACAGAAGACGGCCTTGCCCTGAAGTAATGGGGCTCCAGGGGCTGCACCCAATGAGGGGACAGGGCAGGGAGCGCTCTCTTTTATTTATGAATATCATTATTTACTTACTTATAGTTTTTTGGTACTGACGATGGAACTCGGGACCTTGTGCTTGTGAAGCAGGCGGTGACACCACTGAGCTAAAGCCCTGGCCCGTAATCTTTTATTTATTGATCATTCTCTGCGAGTGGGCTGAGGGAGATGAAAGCTGGTTGGGGTGGTTTAGCACATCCTGACAGGGCCTTCTGTCCCTGTGTCACTCCAGCTTACCCCCGGGTCCTGCCTCTCCCATCCCCTACAAAATTCTGTACAGATTTGCCCTCCCAGAAGGAAAACTTGTTTCATTCTGGTTTCATTGTAGTTTTGAGTGATCCTGCCTAAGTCCTTGTCTCCGATTCCATCAACAACATCAATGAAAATGATAAATACCTAGGCATGGTGACACACACCTATCATCCCAGCACTCAGGAGGCTGAGGCAGGAGGATTGCTACAAATTCAAGGCCAGCCTGGGCTACATAGTGAGTTTAAGACCAGCCTGAATTACAGAGCAAGACCCTGTCTCGAAAAACAAACAGGAGTCAGGAATTCAGCTCAGTGGTGCTGCCACCTGCCTCGCAAGCACAAGGTCCCAAGTTTGATCCCTAGTGCCCCCCCAAAACAAGTAAAATATGAATAATAATAAAATAACCTTGCAGGGGAGCCAGGGATTTAGGTCAGTGGTGCCACCACCTGCCTCACAAACACCAAGACTGGAGTTTGATCTCCAGTACCAAAAAAAAAAGAGTAAAATGGATTGAGGAGCGAATAGAGATCATCCCTTCGTTAACTGAGATTATGCTTTTAAAGTTTTAACCATTCAAGGCTCCCCGTAATCCATTTAGTCCTTTTGTTTTCTTCTTTCTTTTCATGATGCTGTATTTCTTTTCCCCATAGGTGAGACATGGAACCCCTTCAAATTACAGTATCAGCTCAGAAACGTACGAGAGCGAATTGCAAAGAACCTAGTAGAGAAGGGTATTCTGACCACGGAGAAGCAGAATTTCCTGCTGTTTGACATGACGACTCATCCAGTGACCAATGGGACAGAGAAGCAGCGACTGGTGAAAAAACTTCAGGATAGTGTTCTAGAGCGGTGGGTAAATGACCCCCAGCGTATGGACAGGCGAACACTGGCACTCCTGGTGCTGGCCCACTCTTCGGATGTCCTGGAGAATGTCTTCTCCTCTCTGACAGATGACAAGTACGATGTGGCAATGAATCGAGCCAAGGACCTAGTAGAACTGGACCCTGAAGTGGAGGGAACAAAGCACAGTGCCACAGAGATGATCTGGGCTGTACTGGCAGCCTTTAATAAATCCTAGAGCCAGCAGCTAGCTCTCTGTTTTTCCCTGCTGGCTGATGACTGCTAGAAACCCCATCACTGGGTTTGTGTGGTCAGATTTCATCTTTTGTCTTTTGTTTTTAAATTTCTCTTGAATCAGACTCATGATTTGGGGAGAGCGACTTCAGGGCTTCTCCAAAGACCTTGAAACCATTATAAGCAGACTATTTGTCCATCTACTTCCACTCCGTACATGAATAAACTAGGTGAATCCACACACACCCAATAAACGTTTTTTCCCCTTTCTTTTAGTTTCTTCCAGTATGCTTTGGATAAACAAGAATACAAATATCTAACTGGGGTTTGGTGTTCTCAAGCAATAGACTGTGAATGAGATGAAAAGCAAACCATTTATTATACTTTTCTAAGCTTGTTTGCTAAAATGCATGTTTCACAGTCTTTATCTCTCAGATTCTGCTAAAAAAATGTAGCTTATTGAAATAACTGTCTTTTTTTTAAAAAAAAAGGAGCAATGAAAACAAAACTAATTTTTCTTGTTGTTATTCTTTGAGGCAGGGTCTCCCTTTCTGTTCAGGCTGGCCCTGAACTTAACTGTGTAACCCAGGCTGGTTTTGAACTCGAGGTGATTCTCCTGCCTCAGCCTCCAAGTGCTGGGATTACAGGTGTGCACCATCACGCCTGGCTGCAAAACTAATTTTTGAAGCAGGTAATCCCTATAATTGTAAATCCTGCTAACGAGTTTCTCATCTGACCTTTTCTAACTTAATGAAATGTCCCAGATTTTTTTTTTTTTTTTTTTTGGTACCGGGGATTGAACTCAGGTCCTTGCGCTTGCAAGGCAGGCCACCGAACCGCTGAGCTAAATCCCTAGACCTGTCCCAGATTTTATTACAGGGATTCCACAGTCCTAGACCCAGAAATAAATTCTATATTCCTTCTTAACGTTATTCTGGCCCTTATTCATTAAGAGAAAAGTCTAAATGGAAAAAAAATAAGGTATCTTAACTACCTCCTTCATGCAGTCTGCATTAGAACTTGGGAGGGAGATGCCATAAGAATTTCCGGCTTTTAACACACAACGGCCCTGTTCCCTCCACACTACTTAAATGTCTCTGCTGAGACTGAACTGAGGACACAAAGTTTCACCTGCTGGATAGCAGCACCCTGAGCGCAGACAACAGATCCCTGCTCCAAATCTTCTTCCCTACTTCTGACTTCTTACATAAACTGATAAAATTCTACCCATATTTAAGGGGTCTTGGAGTAGTTTTGTCTGTATTTAAGGCACAGCCTCCTAATCATCAGTCTTATTTCAACACAGTTATCCTTCCAGCTAAATCTCTAAAATGTTCCTTACTTCAGTATTGATAATAAATAGAAGCTTTATACAGAAAAAAAGTTTTTCCTTTTTTTTTTTTAGACAGGGTTTTACTATGTAGCTGAGGCTAGCCTTGGACTCACTGTGTAGTCCAGGTTGGCCTGCCTCAACATCCCAGTGCTGGAATTACAGTCATGTGCCACCACGCCCAGCAGAAAAATCCTTTGTAAAGTAGAAAATTGGTGTCTAAAGCTTTCTTTTTTTTTTTTTTTTTGTACCAGGGATCGAACGGGCCCTTGCGCTTGGGAGGCAGGCAGCAGACCCATTGAGCCAAACCTCTGGCCCTACAGCATATTGATTGATATAAAATCTAGTACTATGGAAAGTGAAGAGGAAGCATTTCGTTGCACTAACGTCAGACATTTGTCATATTTTCATGCCTGTTGACCATTACAGAGAAACAAGCTGTCAAAGGGCTACAGATGACTCAGACCTGATATCAAATCCTCCAGATCAGAAAAAATCAAATGATTATAATTTTACATCCTCCCCCAAACCTACATAGCTCCACAAAAATTCCCCAACTCAACTTACTTTTGTTTTCACTTCAGATTTTCCAAAGGTGAATAGAAGCAGGACATGGTGGCACACGCCTGTAATCCCAGCAACTCAGAAGGCTGAGGCAGGAGGATTGCTGAAAGTTCAAGGTCAGCCTGTACTACATAGTAAGACCCTGTCTCAAAAAGAAAAATAAAATCAAAGGTCTTCGAAGGAGATAAACTCAAAATTTATAATGTGAAAAATTCTAAGATTCACTCGAGATCTCTAAATGTGCAAAAGCCAGTCCATGTGTTGTCTTTGCCCAACTTTGCTTTTCTTTCCATTTGAACAATCAGCATGAAATGAAACCAGGTTTTCCTGTGTTCCAGCTTGATTGGTAATAGAAGTTGAGTTCTTTCTTGCAACTTTTACCCAATGTTTATTTTTTTTTATGTTGTATCTCAGTAGAATGTCTTCAGTTTAAGTCTTCATAATGTTCATGCCCAATATACCTTCTCGTTTAATGCATATGGCCTTTATGTTTCTGCGTAATAAAGTCAGTTATGGTCTCTGCACAATTTTATAACTGCATTTGTTTTTGTTGTTGTTTTGTTTTGTTCTGTTTGGTTTGGTTTGATTTTGTTTGGTGTTTTGAGACAGGATCTCACTGTGTAGTTGAGACTGTCCTGGAACTCACTATATAGCCCAGGCTGGCCTCGAACTCACAGCAATCCTCCTGCCTCAGCCTCCCGAGTGCTGGGATTACAGGCATGCACCACCATGCTTGGCTGCATTTGTTTTAATTAGGGGAAAAAGAAACTTTCCACAGCAGACTGGTAATGACTCTTGCCTTGCACTAGCATAGCAACCTCTTTTTTAAATCCTGTGTAGAAAATGAAGTATGTAAAAATACTATCATTGTAACATGTGGATAGCTGGGGACAGGACACAGCAATGCTGGCCCAAATGTCAGCTAATGTCATAACCTCTGAATGCTGTCTCCATCTCAGTCAAAATAATTTACTCAGTTATACCATATTCCTATGAAAAGAATTAGTGTGGTCTGTTCTCCTAAGACCTACTTGCAAGTAACACCTCAATTTATGTAAGAGCTGAAAACTTTAAATTCCAAGAGTAACCATTCGCGTACCTCACTATAGCAGAGTTACTAATGTACCAGCTTTAACAGAGTTAACAATGTGAAAAAATAGCAGGAGCCAGAAGCGCTGGCTCAGGACTGTAATCCCAGCACTCTGGAGGCTGAGGCAGGAGGACTGCCTTAAATTTGAGGACAGCCTAGGCTACATAGTCCGAGGACGGCCTAGGCTACATAGTCCAAGGCCAGCCTGAACTGTGTTGCATAACAAGACCCTGTCTAAAAACAAAAACCAAACGTAAAAACATTGTGTTTATAATTGAGTTATTCTTCCTTTCTTTCTTTGTTTTTGTTTTGTTTTGTTTTGTTTTTTTGAGACAGGGTCTCACTATGTAGTTGAGACTGACCTGGAACTCACTATGTAGCCCAGGCTGTTCTCGAACTCACAGAGATCCTCCTGCCTCAGCCTCCCGACTGCTGGGATTACAGGCGTGCGCCACCATGCCCGGCTATTCTTCCTTTCTTTCGAGTGCACAGTACAGGACTAAAAAATTTATTTACTAGAGATTGGTTATACTTAACGTTCTCAAGTTAAAAAGCCCAAAGCCCATAAGCTGAGCTTTTATACAGTGTTTGTCACAATGTGTTGAGAAGGCCTTTGCGCTGCGCGTGTCTGCGTGCACTTGTGAGTGATGAGAGGGTGCCTTGCTAGAGTGTACATCCCACTACTTCATTCTATGGAAATAGGATTTAGGAAGCCGCATTTTATTGCATTTTATTTTATTTTGTTTTTGGTGTTACTGAGGATTGAACCTTTGCTTTGAAGTACATCGCAGCCTTTATATATTTCGAGACAAATTCTTGCCAAGTTGCTAAGTTACCCAGGCTGGGCTCAAACTTGCAGTGTTTCTTCCTCAGCCTCCCAGAGTGCTGGGATTAAAGTCACATACCACCGAGCCCAGCTCCAGAAGCTGCTTTTTTTAAAAAAATTTTAAGGGCCAGGGATTTAGCTTAGTTCCACCACCTGCCTTCAAAGTGCAAGGTCCCAAGTTTGATCCCTGGTACCAAAAAAAAAAAAAAAAAATTAAGACAATTTTTCACTATGTAGTTCAGGCTGCCCTTGAACTCAGTATGTAGCCCAGGCTGGCCTCACACTCTTGGTGATCCTCCTGCCTCAGCCTCCTGAGTGCTGGGATTACAGGCAAGCACCACCAGGCCCAGCATTCCAGGAGCTACATTTTAAACAAACTCTAAAAGCTTACATGTTAAACTTTGAAAAAAACAACTCCATATTTTATTGCCCATAATCCATTAAAAAGCATTAAGTACTTAACAAATTAGACAGTAGTACTGGGTACTGACAGCAAAAAATCATATAAGACATAATTCATCTACCAAGAACACAAATTAATTAACAAATAAGATATTTTGTGATAATTGCCCAAGTAGAAGTATGAACTTAATATTTGGAAGCATTCTGGCTTTTTTGTTTATTTGGTACAGGGGATCAAAACTGGGTCCTTGTGCTTGTGAGCCAGGCGGTAGAACCACTGAGCTAAATCCCCAGCCAATATTTGGAAGCATTAAAAAGTAATAATAGGGCCAGGGATTTAGCTCAGTGCCTTTCAAGCACAAGGACTCAAGTTCGTTCCCTGGTACCAGTCATCATCATCATCATCATCTGAGCACTCGGGAGGCTGAGGCAGGAAGATCACTGTGAGTTCAAGGCCAGCTGGAACTACATAGACTGTCTCAAAAAAATTAATAAAAATAAAAGTTATTTTCAAAAGCAACCAAATGTAATGGCTCATGCCTGTAATCCTAACTACTTGGTAGGCTAAAGCAGGAGGATCCAAGTTCAAGGCCAGCCCGAACAGGGCAACTAAGCAAAATCCTGTCTCCAAAGGCAGACAGGAGTACTGGGGATGTAGCTCAGTGGTAGAATATCCCTGGGTTTGATCCCCAGTACCACAAAAAGAAAGCAGAAACATTCTTCCTGAGAATATTAAGACTTTGAGGAATTATATTTCCTGAGCAATTTTCTTGTGTGGTACCATGCCAACAACTTTATATCTCATTTATTTCTCACAGCACCGTAAAACCCTACAAGGTCTTTAAAGGAAATTCTGTGTCATAAGGCTTTTTGGAAAACTCAATGTAGGGTTTGAGTTCAAATATAGATTTAAAAAAAAAAAATATATATATACACACACACACACACACACACACACACACACACACACACACACACACACACATATATGTGGGGGGGGGCTTTACTACCTCAATTTAAAAGAATCTTTGCAGGCAAAAAAGAAAAAGAGCTACAGCTATATTCCTAGCAAGGGAAATAATTAGCAGTATGCTAGAATTTCATGAATATGTGTACTTTTTTGGTATATCTTGACAATATTTTAAGGCAATCTATAAGTTGTAGCCTAAACAAAGGCTCCTGGTTATGTTGTTGTTTTTTGTTTTGTTTTGTTCTGTGACACAAGGTCTCACTCTGTAGCCCAGCCTGGCCTTGCACTCATGGCAATCCTCCTGCCTCAGCCTCCCAAGTGCTGGGGTTACAAGTGTGTGCTCCCATGCCCAGCATATATGTTTTTTTTGGTATGGGGAATTGAACCCGGGACCTTGCTGTTGTTAATGTTTGACATGATATCTCACTGTGTTGCCCCAGCTGGCCTTGAAATCTTAGGCTCAAACAATCCTTCCTCTCAGCCTCCCAAGTAGCAAAGGTTCAGGGGAACCACAGCAACCAAACTAACCAAAACTGTCTCAGACTGGAAAATTGCCTTTTTTATTGTTTCAAACCTTTTTTGTTTACCTTCATTTGTTCCTTCTCTGGTGCTTTTCTTTACATATAACTCTGACTTTCTAACATATTATTTCCTTCTTCCTTAGTAACTCGGTTAACCTTTTCCTCTAGATCTGAGTTTTGCCCACTGCACTGCTCAAGCCTTGGCCGTGGACTTGTGCAGAGGTTACAGCCGTCCTGTAACTTCCGCCGCTGCTGCCTGGTCTTCCGCTTTTCCTCAGACTTGTTGAGCTGATGGTTCTCGTCTTCTCAGGCCGCAGTTCCACCAGCTTGTACTTCTTGTCCTTGGAGAATTTCCTGCGCTTTTCTCTGAGTCTGATTAATAACGGTGCAAACAACTCAGAGAGCTTTGTCACTTTGCCAGTGTGCATTTGGGTCAGCTTCACCTTCTGGTTGTCCAGCGGGTTCCTCCTTGCCACAAAGGTCCTGAGCCTTAATCTTGGCCATAGTCACACAAGCCACCATCACCTGCCCTGAGGAAAGCGTTCCTTTACCATTTCTCACCAGGCAGGTCTGCTGGACATGGATCTCAATGGTACTGAGATCTAAGGGCCAGGGATTTACCTCAGTGATGCCACCACCTGCCTCACAAGCATAAGGTCCTGAGTTTGATCCCTGGTACCATAAAAGAAATCTAGATCAGAGGGTGTATTTGTCTCTTGACACTGTTATGCACACATGCTTTTGGTGGAGGGTTTCACTGGAGGCAGGCGGTGGCACCACTGAGCTAAATCTCTGGCTGCATACATCCTTTTTTGTTTGGTTGGTTGGTTGGGGTTTTTTTTCCTTTTTCTTTTTTTTGGTTTTTTGAGACAGGGTCTCACTATGTAGTTGAGACTGACCTGGAACTTACTATGTAGCCCAGGCTGTTCTTGAACTCACAGCGGTCCTCCTGTCTCAGCCTCCCAAGTGCTGGGATTACAGGCATGCGCCACCATGCATGGCTGGTTGGTTGGTTTTTTGAGACAGGGTCTCACTGTGTAGCTGAGACTGACCTGGAACTCACTATGTAGCCCAGGCTGGTCTTGAACTCACAGTGATCCTCCTGCCTCAGCCTCCCAAGTGCTGGGATTACAGGCATGCACCACCATGCCCGGCCTATACATGCTTTTGACATAAAAAAATATATATATTTTTTTTTGGTACCAAGGATTGAACTTAGGACCTTGCGCTTAAGAGGCAAGTGGCAGCACCACTGAGCTAAAATCCCTGGCTGTCAAATTTTAACAAAACTATTTCCAAGAGAACTA